AGTCAGTTTAGGATGCAGTACTTCCCGTGTGAGCTTCAAGGCAGAGGAAGAGTCAGAACCTTACAGCAACAATGCTCCTGACCAAGAGGGGCATTGTCCTGGTCAGGAGCCTTTCTACAAGTTAGAGTTCATCAGGGAAGGATGTTGCCTCAAGCTTCCAGGCCCTCAGAGGACAATGGACTAGCAAAGGACACCACACTGCTGTTAGGACGGCCACAGTGAGCATCCTTTTCTAACGAGCATAAATTCTAGCTACACCCCTCCCATTTGGAGGACTGGGTACCCCTGCTTCTCGAGTCTGTGTGGAAGTTGGGTGAGAGCAGAATCAAGGTTCCCAGTGCTAGATAACAGCTTCTTCCCGCAGGAGCCAGGCCACGTGGTAAGCCCTGCCAGCGTCCCTCCCAGGCCACCACCACGGACGCGTCCTTATCTTTTAGTTCCAACCAAAGACCAGTGTCTCACCCCTTCCCATCTCTCCTGGTCCTCTACACAGAGCTTGCTACAGCTCTCCTGTCCGGTTATAGTCCCTTTTCCTCTGAACAGTGTGATAAAATCCAACAGCCTCCCTGACATTCAAGGCTGCTATGGTTGTGATCAGAATGTGTTCCCTGAGGATTCAGGTGTTAAAATTCACTCCCTATTGTGAGGTACAGGGGTGGGTGGAAACTCAATGTGGTCTTGGTGTTTGGAGGTAGGGAGGCCTTGGTGTTTGGAGGTAGGGGTTAGGGATTAGATAAGGGTATCGGGATGGTGTCTTATTCAGGAGAGGATGGGCGGGTTACACATGTGTTCCCAGTCTATGTGATGTCCTGTGCCTCCACCAGATACTCTCAGAAAACAGCCTTGGTGTTCCAGAACCATCGATGAAAGAACCTCACTTTTTTTCCTTAAATGTTTGTTTTGATACAAGATCTCACTGTAGCCCAGGCTGACTCCGAACTCACCATGTAGCTGAGATTGACTCATGAAAACCTTTCCTTAGCACTCACTCATTCTGTGGCCTTGGTAACAGAAAGCAGACAGCCACAGAGTCCTTTTGGAACCCAGTGTCTGTCCTCTCCCCTCCTCTTCCACCATTCCCTTGCGTGTGGCCTGTACTAGCTACCCAGCTCTTCTCTCTACCTTTCCCTGACTGAGTTTCCGCTTATGCTATTCTTCTTCCCATGACTCTCCCCTCTGCAAAGAGTAGGAAAACTTGGGTTGCTTGTTCAAGACCCAGTTCAAGTGCACCTCTGTCTGAGGTTCCCTGCTCTCGCCTTGGCAGAGGGACTGGGCTCTGCTGGCCTCATACAGGCTTTGTGCAAGCATTGTACCATTTCATGGAGAGGACTTGCATTTGCAGATTCAGTGTCTGTCAGGGTCCTGGAAATGACCTTCCCAAGTGCTAGAGGGGCATATTGGCACTTGTCCCTACCCCCGAGCCTACATTGTACCTACTGTGCATGTAATATTTCTCTTATAGTCTGCTGTTGCCTTAAGAATAAAATGCCAGTGTATCCATTGGCATTTTCCTTTTTGTTATGTTACAGTTAGAAAACCCCACCCTGGAACCCCCTGCCAGGGCAACAGGGGCTATGCCTTAATTATCTCTCTGCCTCTGTCAGAGCTCAGGCAGTAATGAATGTTTGCTCAGAGCAGTGAGTAAATATAAGGAAAGCATGGTTATTTAAATGTGAACGGAAGAGTCTGTAATTGAATGGATAAGCAAACACATCCGAGAGTAAGTGAAGGCATGAGTCAGCAAATGAAGTGGCAGGTTTCAGACCCAGCAGGATCTGTGGCTGGGTCATTCCAGCCCCTGCGCCCTCAGACACATGTGCTCACAATTTCTGTAGGTATGGCTGCAGGGATGCCCCATTCCTCAGTTTCCCACATTGCAGATGTGCAGGCATTGGCCCCCACCTCAGACCTGATTCTACTTCCTGAGTGAGGCTTTGAAATCTGCACCAGCTAAAGCTGCTCAGGGGCCTCTGAACACACTGTCCCTGTGACCTTCAGCTGCTGCTGGGGGGCAGCGAGAGGAGCAGTGTGTCTGCCACAAGGACAGGGACTGACCTCCTAAGTCCTCAAAAAAAGGTGGACTTTTGGTGCATCCATTCCTCCTCCTCCACACCCCAGTCCCGCAGTGAGGGGGCGACAGAGCCATGAGCTGGAGCCGGTGGTTGCCATGGCAACACATTAAGAGATGAGAAGCTGCTTTCAGTTTTCAGTCTCAGCTTCTGGAAAGGGGTCAAGCATGTGGGGCAGAGAGCAGAGTCTGGAGGTGAAAATCACTGCCACCCCCACTCGATCTTCAGAGTTAACCACATCTTGGCACACTGCATGCTCGAGGCCCGCCACCAGCACAATCTTAAGGAAACTGGGAAGGGGTGTTTCCATTTCACAGGTCAGAAAGCTGGGACTGGGATCACCTGCCTGGCCATCTGGCTCTTGGACTGGACTTCTGATTTCAAAGTCTGCACCCTTGTCTCTCTAAGAGTTGTCTATTTTGGGTCAACAGACCAAGACCTCAGAATCGCACTGGCTTGGGGGAATTCATGTATTGGTCCACTAACCCAGACATCTTCTCATTCAGGCCTACACACCCAAGCAGAGAAGCCTCTCACACTTGCTCATGAATACAGGGAAGCACACGCATACACACAGCAGCCTCATATGTATGCCCACACATTCTCGCACATGCACACACTCTCACATATAGACACAGCTACAATCACACAAGCAGGCACACACTGGTCCATGGAAGCAGATATCAGGCTTCTTTGGGCATGATGCTTTGGAGTTTGTCTTCTCTTAGGGTAGCAGTCTGTTGCTTTAGCCACTAAACCTAACCTGGGCTGTGTTATCATGTTCTGGCCCATGCAAAGTTAGCAAGCACAGGGCTGGGGAGATAGGGGAGGGTAAATTGTTTGCCTGCACACGTGTGAAGACCTGAGTTCAGATTGCCAGAACTCTCATTAAAAGCTGAGCATGGTGACTTGTACTTAGAATCCCCAATCCCAGTGACAGCAAAATGGGAGGCCAAGACAAGAGAATCCCTGGAGCTCCCATCCAGCTAGCCTAGCCTCCTGGGCAAAATCCCAGACCTGGGAGAGACCCTGTATCAAACAAAAGGTGGAATGACACTCGAGGTTGGCCTCTGGCCTTTGCATGTAGCCCCACACACGTGCTTGCGCACGCCTTCATGTTACACACATCACACACATGTTACCAAGGCACATTGCAAGGATAACCTTGGGAAGGTGTGTTTCTGTTATATATTTCTGTTTTCTCTCTTTTGTTCTTTGTTTTCACCATGAAAGCATGCCCAGAATGTTAGAGGAGAGCTCATTAAATGCAGAACCAAGTCATCTCCTCTGTCCTAGCTGAGATTATCCAAAACTTGACTGCTCCACAGGCAAACAAATCATCAAAAGTGAGGCTAACTGAAACTGGAACTGCCAATCAAAGCCCAGGTGACTCAGGAGTCAATACCTACTTACAGTGTGGCACTGAGGTTTTGTGCTTACTTATTGCGAGCACTGCAACCAATGAATAACTGGTAGGCATATATATTTAAAAAATAATGTGGAAGGACCTAAGCAATGTGTTCATCTTTTAAATTATATCTTTTTTTTTTCTGAGGCAGGGTTTCTCTGTGGCTTTGGAGGCTGTCCTGGAACTAGCTCTTGTAGACCAGGCTGGCCTCAAACTCACAGAGATCCTCCTGCCTCTGCCTCCCGAGTTCTGGGATTAAAGGCGTGCGTCACCACTGCTCGGCGTAAATGATAACTTTATCGAGAAGTTATTCATGTAAGCATTATCCTCTACATTGTCTTCCCACGACCAGAAACAACTTGGGGAGTGGAGTGGTTTGAAAGACAATGGCCCCCAAAGGGAGTGGCCCTATTGGGAGGTGTGGCTTTGTTGGAGTGTGTATGGCCCTGTTGGAGGAAGTGTGTCACTGTGGAGGTGAGCTTTGAGGTCTCTCTTGCTTAAGCTTCACTCAGTGTCACAGTCTCTTGCCTACATCTCTCAGCTGCTTCTCCAGCACCTGCCTGCGCGCCGCTTTGCCCCTCGCCATGACAATAGTAGACTAAACCTCTGAAGCTGCAAGCGAGCCTCCTCAATTCAATGCTTTCCTTACAGAAGTGGCTGTGGTCATGGTGTCTCCTCACAGCAGTAGAAACCCCAACTAAGACAGGGAGGAAAGGGTTTATTTCAGCTTACAACTCTCAGGTCACACTCCATCACTGAGGAAAGTCAGGACAGGCTCTCACGGCAGAAACCAAAGCAGAGGCCATGGAGGAGTTCTGCTGATTGGCTTGTTCCTCGTGGCCTTCTCATCTTGCTTTCTCATAGTACCACTAGACTAGGGGTGGCACCGCCCACAGTGAGCTGGGCTCTCCCATGTCAATCATGAAGACACGCCAAAGGCTTGCCCATAGGTCAATCTAGTGGAAGCAGTTTCTCAATTGAGGTTCCCTTTTTCAAAATGACTCTAGCTTGTGTCAAGTTGACATAAAACTAGCCCCCCCTCTCTTCCTCCCTCCCTCCCTCCCCCTCCCCTCTGTCTCACACACACCCCATGCAGTGATTTATAAAGTCAGATTCACAGTCATAAAGCCAGCAGCAGCACCTGATTCCAGACTTACCATCTTAGAAAGAAGCCCACACCCATCGTTCTCCATTTACAGTCAGAGACTCCCATAGCCTTTTGTGTCTAGCCATTTTCACGTGCACAGTGCTTTCAGGGCCCACCCTAGCATCCACTAATGTCAGTACTGGATAATAGTCCACTGTGAAGGTGGAACAGAGTCTGTCTGTGCATTCATTAAATGACACACATTTGGGGGAGTGATGTGTGCTGGCTACAGCCAGGGCAATAGCTCTGCCAGCTTGGACTTCTGTCGTGCTTTTCCTACAACAGAGAGTGTTTGGGGGAAGATGACTTGGGGACACTTCTTGGGCCCAGTGTGATATACAGATGTGGCTCATTGTCCCTTTCTTGTGCGGGTTAGTGCTATCCACCATGGCCTAAAAGTGGTTTCCAAGAATCGCCACCCTGCCCTGTTGACTTACCTCATCACTGCCCTAACTGAGCACAACCCGGGATGTGATGATGCAGCTCTATGAGAGCCCCAGGGTGAGGGCAAGAAACGTGTGGGAACTAGAGGGCAAGCAAGATCGGAAGTGGACAGAGGCTACAATCTTGGATTTGGACAAAGAAACTTGATCCTCAGACACTGTTATAATTGGGCTCAATGGTCATCACCATCTAATCAAAGTTATTTTCCAGTTGCAGAGGCAACACATCCCCAGTAATGCAGCACTAACCAGTATTCACACACCATACATTATCCTTTGTGATGGAAAAGATACAAAATAGAGTTTACCAAAGCTCCTTGTCTGAAGGATCTACACCCAAAGTCATGCATGTCTGTGAAATCATACATGTTCTATGCACTCCAACTCAGTACAAAACAAATGTCAGTCAACAGCATGGCATTAAAGGGGCCTAGCATTCTTTTACCTACATAGAAAACATCAAAACAAGATGAAAACTACTAGAATCAAGTAGAATATACACAAAAAGGACATGGATTAGAGAGATGCAAGCCTGAGTACCTGAGTTTGATTCCCCAGGACCCACATGTAAAAGCTGGACATAGCATTTGTCTGAAGTACCAGTTCTGGGTGGGTAGAGACTGGCACATCCCTAGGGCATGCTAGCCAGCCAATCTAGCTGAACCTAAAAACTCCAGGTTCAGTGAGAGACCATGTCTCAAAGAATAAAATGGAAAACAGTTGAGGAAGACCAGGCCTCCAGATGTACACACTTACGTATATGCAGCCGCCTGAATAAACACCCACACATAAATGCAGGAAAGTAGGAAGGTGTGGGGAACTTAATGAATATGCATCGTTATTTGGCTTTGTGATGTTTACAGTGTTTGCTGTTTTTAAATCTCAAAACATTGTGATTTTTAAAACAAATTCTAAATATTCGTTATGTGTACCTAACTTTTTTATAATCCTGAATATTTTCATTAAAGAGAATGCCCCAAATTCTGTCCATTTCACCTATTACTTTTCCCTCTCTACAAAATACAGGTGGATAGATCCATTCTGGTATGCACTTCATAGCATAAGATGATGACAGACAGACACACATATACTCACGTAGGGCATACCCCAAGATCAAGCGCTCCCCAGGTGCAGACATGTGTAGAGGAATGAGTCCCTTGGTCAGAGTGTGGTCTCACTCTCAGAAGCTGCAGGGGAGCTCTGAGGAGTGTCAAATCCAGTCAGACACAAGCACCACAGTCACTTTTGCTAACAGCCTGCTTGGCCCTGCTCTCTGGACCCCAGATGCTGTTTACCCATTACAGATGGATGGATCTTTTGGCACCCTTCTGGCTTCTGGGTCTCTCCGGCAGTGTTGTCTGGGACTGAAGTGAACATGAACTGAACTTCCCCTGGGGAGACTCAAAAGCCAGGCTTCTCCCTAAGGACTAAACTGTTAACTGGAATTTTGTCATGGGGAAGGATAACAAATGTAAATATTTGTGGGTACTGAGCCATCTTAAGTCTTTTTCTGTTACTATAACTGAACACTATAAACTGGATAATTTATATAGGAAAGAAATTTATTTCTTATAGTTTAGAAAGCTGAAAAAAATCCAAGATCAAGAGACTGTTTCTAGTAAGTGTCTTCTGGCTGGTGAATCCCAACTCAGGTCAGAGCAGTGCCCAGTGAGGCCCAGCATCCTGGTTCAGGTCTCTTCTTCCTACTCTTAGAAAGTCATGGTCCTGGTGGACTAGGTTCCCACCTTGACAACTTCACATTACCTTAGTTACCAAAGGTCATCCTTGGAAGGCTGTCCCTGGATTAAGCTGCCACCATCCTAAACACTTCACCATGAAGACTGAATTTCAACATGTTTTTGTGGGGACACCTAAACCACAGAGACAGCTTTCTGTTTTCACAGAAGTGTGAGGACTCTCTCTCTCTCTCTCTCTCTCTCTCTCTCTCTCTCTCTCTCTCTCTCTCTCCCCTTTACCATATACATTTTGATCTCTCACTCATTCTCCCCTTTTCCTCCTAACTACCCATTTTCTTACCATGGTCGACAAGTCTTTACTATAAAGGCAGTTGATTGGCATTTCAGGTTTTGTGGGTCACGTGCATTCTTAAGGCAGTCCACTGAGACCTTGCATGGACAAGCAAGCATGCCTGTGTTCCAATACAGTTTTAGTCACAAGAAGCACAGGCTGCAGGCAGGAGTGTGAGGCCCCTTCTGGATTCACAACCCTCTGAGAGAAGGGCCTGAGTCTGTCCTAGCCCTGGATTTCCAGACCTTAGCTATACCTGGCATGGATGGGTTCAGTGCTCACCTATGGCAGTTGGCTGATATTCTGTGTCCGTCTGTCTGTCTGTTTGTCCGTCCTTTAGTTTGCTTCTCCCTTGTCCTATCTGTCCACAAAATATCACAAAGGCTTAGCTCTTCAGAAAAACAGTCCCCTGCTCCTAGGAACACGGAAGATGTCTATGAGCCTTGGTCGCTTACTTGTGCTCATAATCATTGGTCTCACAGGTCTTAGGCAGGTGACAGGAGGCCCACACTTGACCCAGCCTCTCTGGAAAGGCACAATACTACCCAGAGAAACAAAGATCCAAAAGACCCCAACAGGACCAAGTCTGGCTTTCCATCAGCTGGGCAATGGTCCAAAGGAGCCCCCTCCCTTTCTGACAATCATACCTTTTATTTTAGGGTTCCTATTGCTGTGAAGAGATACCATGACCATGGCAACTCTGATAAAAGAAAATATCTAACTGGGGCTGACTTACAGTTTCAGAGATTTAGTTCGTTATCATCATGGTGAGAAACATGGCGGCTTGTAGGTAGACATGGTGCTGGAGAAGAATCTGACAATTCTCCATCTTGATCTACATGCAGTAGGAGACTGTGTGCCACACTGGACATAGATTGAGCATATGAGACCTCAAAGCATACCTCCACAGTGGCCATTTCCTTCAGCAAGGTCACATCTCCTCCAACAAAGCCATACTTCCTAATAGTGCCACTCCCTAAGGGGCCAGCATTCAAGCATGTGAGTCTGTGGAAGTCATTCCTGTTCAAACACCACACCTTTTCTCTTCTGAACAGCAATAGTAACTATGGGAAGGTTCTTTTGTCGCCACCATTTTGTCCTCCCAAATAGGGGTTCCATATAGTTAGCCCCCATAGACGCAGATCTACACCCACAGATTCAATGAACATGGATCAGAAATATTCTGGTGGGGAGGTGTTTCCTAAACAAACAAGGATTTGTGTAGCATCTACATGCTGCCAGATTTACAGTCTAGAGATGACTTAATGTATATGGTAAGTCTGTGTAGGCTTTATGAAAATACCACAGTATTTTATGTAAAGGACTTGAGCATCTGCAGATGTTGCTATCTGTGTCCATAGATGGTAGTTCCTATTACTGAGTGAGGAACACTGTGAGGACTGAAATTTGAGGCTTAGCAGGTATACAAGAAACAAACACTAATGAAGTGTTCCATATACATAAAACACAAAAATAAAAGAGGTAATGGACAAGTGGATGGGTTGTTGAACCAAGAATGTCTGGGGATAAAGATTGATTGTGCAATCAGGCACATTTTAAGAAAGAGTGTGGGGATCAAAGGCAAATGCTATCATTGGACAAAATAACCCATATCCTCAGGGAGCTCAGGGCAGCCTTGGCCCAGCTTCTTGCCTAGGGTAGGAGGCTTCATCATGGCTGTAGGATGCTCTTTACCACAGAAGCAAGGTTGACAGAGGGCATCAACTCTGATGTCAGAAGTGAACTTTCCAATACCTTGGTGGGGTGTGTGTGTGTGTGTGTGTGTGTGTGTGTGTGTGTGTGTGTAAGGGAGAGAGAGAGACAGAGAGAGAGAGAGAGACAGAAAGACAGAGAGAGAGAGAGAGGGAGAGAGAGGGGGAGAGAGAGAGAGAGAGAGAGGAGAGAGAGATATGCTCCAGGGTAGGCAGCTGCTTGGAGCTCATGGTCCCAAGGCGGCCATCAGCATCTTCTCCATGTTGCCCCCACCCCTTCAGAAGCCACCACAACAAGGGGTCCGTTTATCTTCATGGAAGATCAACAGCAGAGGCTTTGCTGATTAGCATAATGACTGTTAAAAATAAATGAGTTTCCAGAGGTGAAATCCGTGGCTTGTTAGGCAGCTTAATGGATGCCGGAGGCAAGCACTTGATGAGATGAGTGGAATTCAGAATATATAGCTTGGCTGCAGTATTTCAGAGGCCCTCTCTCCTGGCATGAACCAAGGGTAAGGAACCAGTCAGCCCCAGGAAGGCACTTATGTATGTGTCCCTAATAGACTGGGTCCCGTCATCAGCTAAGGGTGACTTGGGGTGGCCTATAGACTATGACCATATTCTATCTGTCTTGCATTTAACCACATAGGGGGCTAACTTTCTCATACTAGCTACTTATAATTAATATCTTCATGAGGGCAGAACTCTGCCCATGCCTGGAAAAAACCTGACTGCACAACAGCTTGATAGCAAAGATTGCCTTAATTCCTTTCATATTGCTGTGACAGAAATACTTAGCAGAAACAATTCAAGACATTTATTTTGGTGACGGTTTTAGTTCATGATGATGAGGAAGGTGTGGAATTGTGGTTCAGCTTGTGGCAGTGGGTGTGTGCAGCAGAGGCTGCTCGTATCATGGCGAATGAGGAAGTATAACCAAGTCAGAATCCAGGGGCCAATATAACCTTCAAGGGCCCACGCCGGTGAACTCTCCTCCTACTAAAACTTAGTAGCCTTTAGATGAAGCACACCAGCACGGACCTGTTGGGGATTGTGTGTGTGTGTGTGTGTGTGTGTGTGTGTGTGTGTGTGTGCACAGAGCACACAGTAGGTGCTTAGTAGACCTTGTCCTAATCAATGACCAGTGGTCATCTCATTCCAGCCCTGTCCACCATGCACAGGCTGAGTGCCCTTGAAGGAAGGACCACTGTTGACATAGTCTCCAAATGGAAGACTAGGGATCAGAGAGATAAAGTCACTTTCTTGACGATATGGATTTCCAAGTTGTCCAGCCTGAGACACCACCAGCCAGAAGTCTGCCTTACCTGGAGCAGGTTGGATTGCCACAGCTAAAGGAGGGCAGAGGAACCAGGAATCTGCGCTGAATGAGTGCTGCAGAATAAGCTGCAAACATTGGTTTCCTCTGGCCGGGGGTCACCAGGACTCTCCTGAGCCAAAGCTTTGCTCCTGTGGAAGTTTTCAAGCCAGGGAGCGGCAGATTTCAAGAGGCTGGCCCTGGGCCAGGGACAGTTTGGCTAGGACTTCAGCCCCCAGAGTCCCATCACACCCTTAGACCCCAGCAGTGTTGCCATAATTACCCCTATCCTGTAAAGGAGGAAGGTGTTCCATGGAGAGGAAGTGACTTGTCCACAGTCACATGACTTGTGTGACTCAGAATTCCATGTTTGGTCTGAATCCACATTCTTTCCAATTACTGTGTCCCCTTCCAGAAAGAGAACACTTTTTAAGATTTAAAAAAAAAAAGCCTGCTGTGGCCTAAGTAAAATCCAATTATGTTTCTTGACTGATTAAGGTCTGGTTCTGTGGCAGTGATAGGCGGACAGGGAAGTTAAAGAACATGGAGTCTCTGACTACGGCCATGTCCCAGAGGAGGCCACATCCTACCACGTAGCTCTGGTTGACTGCCAGTCATTGTGACTTTTCCTGTCTGTTGCCTCTGTGCTACTGAAACATCCTGTCAGTGGAGAAACTGAGGCCCAAAACTTAAGCAATTTCCTAACTTAACACATTTAGGAAATACTGGAGATGGGACCCCAAGCCCACTTGAACCTCTTCTTTGAGACAGTGCACTAGACTGCGCTCTGTGTTCGATGCTTTGCAAACATTGTGCCGCTTAACCCTCTGACACTTGCAATCCTGTTCTATAACTGAAATCATGGG